CATTCCCCGGATCTTTTCATGGTTCCTTTTCATAGAACCAATTAAAGGAAACATGAACCTGTCAGCAGAATGCTGCGTTTATGCAACAAACACAGACTTGGCTTTTCACTGAAGAAAGACACGATGAAAAAGCTTCTATTTACTTATAGTTAAGTATAACACTTTGCTTATTGTTTATGTTATTATGCTGTATTTATTTAATCATATACTATGTCACTAATTTTAAATTTTCTACTGAAAGCAATCTTGAATGTATGAATGCAATATTTCTCATGACTCATTTCTTTCACTTATCTACATATTTTTTTCCACTGCTATTACTTGTAAATACTATAGATAATTACATAATTATAATATGTGATAGTAATGTATTTTATGTCTTACAACCTTGTCTAAACTTTTTATCAGAGGGAATTAAACAAAAAGGCAAGAAAAAGGCAATAAAGAACATAAAAAAATCTTAAGAAAAGAAGAGGCTTTCAAAAAGAAGAAAGCAAATTTATTATCTTATTGTTATTGTTGTTATTAACAACAGCTTTTAACTCTTTAAATAAGAAAAAATGTTAATTCAATAAAAACGAAATATACCTATATCAGGATAAGACACTTTTCATGTTACTAATATTTTATATAATAAAGTTGAATCAAACCAATGGTTTGTAATGTAGCATTTTTGCCTTCAACAAGTGAAAATACTCTTTTTTAAAGCAATATAGATAGCTACTAAATTACTAAAATTACTTTTATTCATAAACGAAAGCATTTCAAAAATTGCATACCTTTAAGATGAGCATTGTATGCATTCTTTGAAATAAAGCAAAAAAAAATTTAAAGAGGTGTTAACATAATGCTCGAATTCAAGGATTAATTGCGTCAGTTAAGAAAATAATTATATATTTTAATGGCATGGAAATTACGTGATGCAGAAGATGAACTGATGGTTGGACGGACTGTCGGATGCACGGTCAGACATAGTAAAATTAAATAAACTAATTCGGATGCACGGTCAGACATAGTAAAATTAAATAAACTAATTCCATTTTTACAGACCGTATTGTGTATACAATAGGTAGGTTATGTGATGGCACCAAATTTTGCATATCGAGTTTTTGGTGGGAATGCACTTCATGGTAGGGAAGTGTAAATAAACTATTTTCAGCAACCCGTCGGTCTGCCGGTCTGTGTGTGCACGCGTGTATCTCGAGTTCGGCTGAACCGATTTTGATGAATTAATTTTATATGTAAGTTTATTTCGACCATGGCAAGGATTGATCAACTTTTGGAATATATCAGGGCTCGGAAACTGCAATTTTTGGCGGGCCTGTTCTAAATTTTCGACCACTTTAAAAATATTCAACCGATTTACTTGAAATTTCATATATAAGCTTAGCTCGACCGTCCGCGAAGCCTCTTAACTTTTGAAAAATATCAGGCGTCAGCAACTGGACGTTTACTACGGGCCAAATTTACATTTTTGGGTATATAAAGAGAAATAATCAACTTAATAATCAATATTATATTAGATTTCATTGAAATTTAATATTTAAATTCTTCGTACTAAATAAATATATATTTTTTTGGAAAGATCAGGGCTCGAAAACTGATCTGCAGGCCGATTTTACATTTTTCACCATATCTACGGAACGAATTGATGGAATTTCTTCAAATTTGATATTTGAGTTCTGGTTGTTACCGAAACTAACTGGCGAGCATTTCAGGGAATTCGTTTGGCACAAAGCGAAACTCTACTAAGAGCCAAATTTACATTTTTCATTAGGTATGTTAACTATAAGCTTATTAATGTCCTAAAAATTGGAAAGAAGTATTTAACAGAAATTTTTATAATATTCTGTAACACTTTCACTTAACTAGACAATAGACATTCCGGTCGGTTAGGTGCTGCTCACATCAGATTTTTTTTTCTTATGGAAAAATGCTTAAAACAAAATTCTTTAGCGATATAAAAGCAAATTCAATTTATCCTTTTTTAGCATTTAAGAGTATGCATGCTTATGAATATCATATGTTGCACTTTCAAGCAATAAATTAGCACGAAAATTGTTGCTTGAAAGTGAATCATTAAGCACTATTATCCTTTGATGTATATTATATTATCTTCTACTTAATAATGTAAATGCAGTTTAGTCCGGAGTTGGTGGTTTTAAAATGGTGAAAAAGAGAAACTAAAAATTTTAATCAATAAAACACATGAAGCTCCTAAATGGAAAATTTTTACTTTTTGCAAAAAAAAATTCTTATACTTGTTTAATAGGTTTTATCAACTCTTTTCTTTATTTAACTATTTTACAAGGTAAATATTTTTACCTACAAAATAACGTATGTATATTATCTTTTATATAACAATTAAAATAATTATCGTCTAAATACACTTTTCCATATAAGTGTACAGGGTTTATTTCAGAATAAAATACGTAATTTCATTTTTTTTTAAGAAAAGTCTAAGTATTTCTCCAGAGATTCATTGTTGTTAATTAAATAGTAACTTTCAACGTACGTATGTGAAAGTAATATATTCATGTGGAAGGTATCTAAATATATATAATATATTAAAGTACATATGTAAATATAATTATATAGCACAGAAGAAAATGAACAGGATAGAAAAAAAACATATTAATTATTTAAATAAGAAAATGAAATTTACAAGCTGTTGATTAAACAATCAGGTAAAAAGAAAATTTAAGAAGTGGAAAAAAATGAGCTTATATTTAATATTATTATAATATAGAAAAGGATGCTTAAAAAATTAAGATGGAAACTTAAGACACGATGTTTTCACTTAAAAAATATATATACACATACATATACTATATGTACAGGCAAATTATAATACAGATTAGTAGTTATAAATTTAAATCAAGGACAAAATCTTAAAAAAGAAATTCAAGAAAAATATAAAAAAATATATCTTTTATGACATCTTGTTACATTTCATTACATTACGTAACATAAAAAAGGCTGGCGATGATGACGATGACGAGATTTACTAAAATATAACGTAGATATTAAACAATATTTTCTCCTGTACTAATATGATAAAAATGTAAATTCAACACATCATAACAAAATTATTTGAAAAAGATATTAAAAAACACAATAAATCCTGGAGCAATCAACATTTTAATTAACTTGGCGATAACATCAATATAATAGATAATATGTATAATGATTAAGAACAAATTACTTTTAAAAATGTAAAATCACATTTCCAAATAACATTCCTATCTAAAATATGTATCCCAGTGTGTACATACTCTCTCAATACTACCATTTTATATTCTACAAAAAATTCTTGTTTACATATAATATTTAACATTATGAAAAATTGCATTATTTTACTTTATCGTGTTATTAACTTGTATACCTACCGTAACAATATATATATTTTCATCTATCCAATATTTTATAGCAAGGGTAATAATGAAGTTGGTACTATACTATTTTCATTTGGTGAAAATTTGCTGAAGCCCAAGATTCTTTAATCCAAGAAAAATTCTTATAGAATTTTGTTTTAGCGTTAAATTCAGGTATTAAATTAAAATTCGCCATGGAAAGAGTTCCCGATAACTTAAACGAAATCAAATCGAATTATGCTAAAAAATTTAGATTTTAATTTTATTTTTCAATTTAAAAAACTTTTCGACTTTTTTCTTATTGGGGCTAATATATTCATCTCAAAACTTTTTTGTGTTCTCATAAATTTTATTATTTAAATTTATCTCTGTTGGTTTACTATTATTCAAATTTTCAATTGTTTCTGTAAATTAATTTTTCTTATTGCTTTTGAGCATTGCACAAATTGTAAAAAAGAGAAAAAAGTTTATGTCTCAAAATAACTCATGAATGATTTATTTTGAGACATAAACTTTTTTCAAATAATATTTTACATTCTTGATATAGAAAGATAAATTCAATATTGCGATTTTTATTACCATTCAATATTTCTGCTAGAATACATATAATAAACTTACATTTTATTAATTCGTACAATTTTGATATATTAATTCGTAAGTCGTTGGAAAATTATATTAATATTATTCATAAACGCTAAGTTTTTACATACTTACTCAAAAAATAAAATTTAAAAGCATAATGACACATGAAAACAATATTCCTGAGCAGGATATGTATACTATTACAAATACAAGGAAATGTAAATTATTTTTTTGTATTTTTGTTCATAATTTTTTTTCAAACAAAAAAATTGAAAATTTTTAATAAATTTGTATCAAAAACTGAAAATTTTTAATACAATAAACATTCTAAATGCTTTTAATTTATGTAACAATATTATTACGTTAATAAAAAATAATATAACATTGTTAATTTTAAAAATAAAGAGTAGTATAAAACGCACACAAAAGTTGTCATTAAAGCTTTTTAAATTTTTGGAAGGAAACCCTTGGTAATAAAACTAATAAAAACTACCATGAGCATAAAGTATTTTCTATTTTTGCATTTTCATGAATTTCTTCCTTTTTTCATACTTTTCACTTTGTTAACCTTTTCTCATTGTAAATTTTTTTTTCAAACATTCTTCACAGAGTTTTATTTTGATCTGTACATCATCACCCTAAGTCGCACGTATCAATCTCAGCGTTTCGTCATTATATCAAACATTGTCATGGTGCCACATTCAAGATGAAAGCAATGATAAATTTTAAAAATTCCAATAATTTATTTTTCTTTGTTCATTAAAAGCAAAAAAAAAATTTTAATACTCGTAACAGTATAAAATATTATTTTATATAAATGGAAGCAGGTTACTTATGTACACTCAAAAGGTATATCGACTTCATTTGTTATTAGATGTATACGTTATTCGAGAGAAACACTGAATTTAGAGTAACTGATCAATTGTTCAGTAAAAATTTGTAACGGACAAAGTGAAATTTTGAGGATTACAATAGATTAATGTCAGTGTAGTAAAAAGAGAGGAAATGGTTTCTATATCCAGTAAATATGTAACTTTGTCTTACCATAATTAAAAGAAGTAAAAACGTTTCAGTCGTCTAAACCGACTAAATTATACCCTGCATCTTGACAATCTGAGCATTTAAACTTGTTTCTGAAATATTTAGAATCAATTTTCATGGTTGTACGACAGTTACTCGAACCTGTCAGGCCCATTCACAAAAATTCCCGTACATGTCTAACCAACAACAGGACCATAACTGCCAAGTCTCATGAATCTATCCTTTTTAATTATCATAATTTCAATTTTCAGCTATCCGAACTGCCAAGCCATTCCAACAATTTTCAGCTGCTAAGTCATTCCATGTAAATTCCGAGGGTATATTTGGGCTATAAAATATATCGGACCTGATATATCTTATCCAATATCAGTTCCGACATATTGAGAATATGACATCGGTGTGCAATGAATATGGCATCGGTCCTTTAACTAGAATATCTTGCATTCAAACCCCAGGTCACTATAAAATTATATTCAATTTATTGTAGCATAATATAAAATCATAAAAAAATCTGATGTGATCAGCACATAACCGACCGCAAGGTGTATTGTCTAGTTAAGTGAAAGTGTTACAGAATATTATAAAAATGTCTGTTAAATGCTTCTTTCCCCTTTTTAGGGCATTAATAAGTTTATACTTAACATACCTAGAAAAATGTAAACTTAGTAGAGTTTCGTTTTGCGGTGAAATTCCAGTTAATTTCGGTAACAACCAGAACTCAAATATCAAATTTGAAGAAATTCCATCAATTCGTTCCGTGGATATGGAAAAAATGTAAAATCGGCCCGCAAACCAGTTTTCGAGCCTTGATCTTTCCAAAAAATTTATATGTTCATTGTTTTAATACGAGGAATTTAAATATTAAATTTTAGTGAAATCGGTTGATTATTTCTCTTTATATACGCAAAAATGTATATTTGGCCCGTAGTAAACGTTAGTTGTTGACACTTGATTTCTTGCAAGAGTTAGGAAATTTCGCGGACGGTTGAGCAAAGAGGCCTGATATATCCCAAAAGTTGATCAATCCGTGCCACAGTCGAAATAAACTTCAACATAAAATTTCATTAAAATTGGTTCAGCCGAAAGTGAGATACACGCGTGCAAACACAGAGACAGACCGACAAACCGACAGGTTGCTAAAAATAGTTTATTTACCTATTGTATACACAATACGGTCGGTAAAAATGGTATAAAATTTTCATATATCCATAATACTTGATTAAAATTAATATTACAGGGAAGGTTAGTCACCTACCTAGTTAAAAACTCTATGATGCAATGAAATTGGGGTATAACTATCAATGATACCACACACTAGTCCTATACCACACGACTGCCAAGAATCTACCTTTATAATTTTTCCGAATATATAAAATTAGCTTTTAGAGCTGTGTGACAGCTACCCGAACAAGTGCCAGAATTTTTAGATCATATGTAGAATGTAATTCTTTATCTTTATTAGTATTTAAAATATTTAAATTATTTTTATTAATATTTGAAATAATCTTTTTGTATGACAGCTGTTACCCGTGAAATAGGTTTAATTACAATAGGGCACAAATGAACATTTATTCAATCAAAAATTTTTAGAATATATTACGTTGTTGGTAAAATATAACAACGCTGTCTAGATAAATAAAGCTGTCAAAAATACAATTTTTGTCTTGTTTCGCTTTTGTAACTACTCGTATGTATTTTTTGTAATATGGTAATACCCGTTTAGCTGCTTGGCGCTAGCCGTTTAACTTTTTCAAATTCACATTTCGCTAGGTATGCTAACTTAAAGTTTATTAGTGTTCTTAAAACTGCAAAGAAGTGTTTAAAACGCATTTTCATAATATTCTGTAACACTTTTACTTAACTAGACAATACACATTGCGGTCGGTTATGTGCTGATCACATCAGATTTTTTTCTATGTAAAAACGTTGTTGAATGAACCGCGTGGAACTTATGTTTGCGGTTATTCAAATAAATTCAATTAAAATTGGTTTAAACGTAAGACAATTTAAAAATCTCGAGCGTGCTTTTTCGATACTAAATAAAACATGTTTTTTTGTAAAAACATATTTTTATCAAGACAATTTCTAGGACAACTTGATAGTAATCGAACAATAAATAAAATCGAAATATACGTTAAATGACCGAAAAAAAAGTAATAGTTAAGTCTTTAATATATAACAAGTCCTGAAAAAACGGGGGGTCTACTTTCAAATCAAAAATGTTAAGAAAAATTACTTTTAAAATAACAAAGGAATCAATTTAAATATTTTGAATATCAAAGCTGAAAATTACTAACACAAACCGTTAAATAAACTATGCACATGTAAATATTTACATTAATATAGAAAGTGTTTGCATTAAACTTATATTACTTAACATTTTTATTTTACATGTTCTTCTTTTTTTTTGGTAACCATGTAGGTGTTTTTAATAGTACGACATAAATTTATGATACACTGTACGTGCTAATTTTACATTATCATAAAAGAACAAGGATTACGTGCAATTAGGCCCTTTTTTAAAATTAAAGAAATTATTTATTATAAAGTTATAAATTTAAAATTATTTTAGAATTTATTATATTTTAGAATTTTAAAACGACATTAAAATGATTTAAGAATTGATATGTATATTATAAGATGTCTCTTTTCGTTTCCATTTTATATAACATTAATTATCGGCAATTTCGTTATTTGAGAATTGTATAAGAAATTTCCACCAACTTCAAAATTTGATTTTGTTGTACATTTACAAAAAAAATGGGAGATTTTATATGACTAATTCAAAAATATTTTTCCTAAGATTTTACAATCAAAAAATTAATAAGAATTTAATGCTTCACTTTTCCTGTGAGATTCGATATGTCATATTGTGTGCATGGCAGAAATACTGAATCATAAAAGTTTTCAATCTTATTTTTAATGTTCATATAATCCTACTTTTAATGTTATCATAAAAAAATAAGATAAAATTTTATATACATACGTATATGTACATATACAAACAAGATTTTTTCAAAATCATCAATCGTCGGAAAGCTTTTTTTATTATTAACAAAATTCAAACATACAAAAACTCTATGTAAATGTGGCATTTATTTTGTTAAAACGTTAAGTTGCAAAATTTTCTTTCCAGTTTTGATTTTAATTTCCTCAACGTAATTATGTAAATATTATTAAAACGATGTATTGTAAAAATTCTACATACATGTAATAAATCCATATATATACATAGAAGCCATGCTAAAAAAGAATGCGATCACATTTTTTGGCAAGTAAGAATACATATACATGCTATGTACACATGCTATACATTTCAAAAATTTAACATGCGTATAGACTATAATTATCATAACACATGTTCGGCACGTTTTATATAAAATTAATGCTCAAATAATTTATTTAATACCACCAAAATTCACAAGAGATTCATTCATACATTCCTATCTCTATAACAACCTTAAAAGATAAAGCCAACTTTTTCTATTCTACTTTTCACATTCCTTCTTAAGCTTCCACCTTACTTTTTATTGCTAAATGGAAACAAGAATTCGTATAATTTTCGATTGAGTTTTTTGAAGTTTTTTGATACTTGAACGGTAAAAAGAAATCCTTAACAAAAAAGAAAGACAAAAAAAAACAAAATACAAGTTTATCTTTTCATCATAATTTCGCGATATTTTTATTTTTCAAAAAAAAATTTAATACCATTTCCTAAAACATTTTCAATGCAATTTACGAATTACTATGTTTGAAGAATTAAATAAGTTTATGCTATTCCTTTTAAAATCCCTCTAACGTTTATCTTAATATAAACGAAAAAATCGGACATAATATAAATGTAAATTAAAAAAATCTGAAAGTTTGTTTACAATGCGCTTTAAACACCTACATATTTCACAAATTATTAGAAAAATTGTTTACACACCTGGAAAAGGGTTCATACCCGCAATGTCAATAATTTCTTCAACAATTTTTTGTAATTTTCGTTGATAAGCAAAAAGAGACAAACACAGTGGAACTAATAAACACATTTTCTTCAAAATTTTTTGTAAATACATATATTTATTATCGACCAATATAAACATTCGGCAAAATAAATATTCATCAATAACGGTTTGTCTGAAAAGATACATGAATACAGAGACTAACGCACTGAGAGATGGACACTTTTGTGTTATCACAATACATCGTTATTTCGCTATATTATTTAAAAACTTATCGGATCAATAGTGTAGTGACATAAGTTGACTAATTAAGTTTTTTGACTTAAAGTGAGCTGACTAATTATCGAAGATAATTCCAAAAATTTCAAAAATTTCAAGAAAGTTTTAAATGAAATCCTCTAATTGACTAGAAGTAAAACGATTTCATACAGCCAATGCAAAACAGTAAAATCGTGAGAATTTTATTGTTTTTCTTTTTTATAAAGGGAAGAAATATTACTAATTATATACTTTTTTATTTTAATGTTGCAACATACTTTCAGACAAGTCATAAAACTACACTTTTTCAACTAACATTTTGAGTAAAAAAAAATGAAAAAATATTTTAAAAATGCTTAACTAAATAGTAAAAGTAATTAATATTAACGATGCATTTGACTAAATAATAAAAGCGGAAAAACTTTACTTTCAAACTTAAACAAACTTTTGTATTTGTTTTAAGGAGTTCTATGTAGTTTGGGAGTTTAGTTTTTATAGTTTAATAAATAAATTTGAATCACAACCAGTATAGCTCTTCTCTATTAAACAACTGAAACTAGATTTTTGAAACACAATTGTATTCTTAAATAATAATTATATGAAAAAAATCTGATGTGGTCAGCACATAACCGACCGCATTGTATATTGTCTAGTTAAGTGAAAGGGTTACAGAATATTATAAAAATGTCTTTTAAATACTTCTTTCCAATTTTTAGGACATTAGTAAGCTTATAGTTAACATACTTAGAAAAATGTAAATTTGGCTCTAGTAGAGTTTCGCTTTGTGCTACCCGAATTCCCAGAAATGCTCGCCAGTT